TGGCCCAGTGGTTTGGGTTTATGCGTGATCTTGATCAGAGTGTATGGGGTTCGAATCCAACTGCTGGCTATAGGTGTAGGTAATGTGGCCTTGGGTAAGCCACCTCATCTCTATTTACCTCTCTCCCCATCCAGGAGTATAAAATGGGTACCAGCATCAGCTGGGCAGTAACCTTCAATAGATGGACATCCCATGGGGGGGGACCAGAAATATATTTTCAGTCACTTCATGGAAAGGAAACTGGAGATATATGTATATGCTGGCCTGATGGGCCGCAGTGGCTCTGGTTAGATTTTACTTCCTTGAACACATAAGGATATACTTGGAAAAGTTGGCATTATGGTACACGTCCATGTACCAATTAGTTATTTGTAACACTTGATTCTGTAAATGGCACAGATTATGGGGACTTTACTTACTGGTATGTGTACTATTCGTAACGATTACAGACAAAATACATGTGGTAAGCATGTGATCAGCTCATTTGATATTTTGTGTCAAGATTGCATTTTCTTTGGATTATCCACAAATACCTCAATGTTCTTATATTCATCTACGTGTAGGTATACAAACACATTATGTAACACCAGGACTTATTTCCTCTATCCTCCAAAAACAAAAAAGTTTCCTATTGCTTTTCTAAGGCCATCACAACCACTCTGATAAGTCCACGACCCAACCATGCACGTTCCTACTCAGCTAGAGCCGGCTTCCTTGACAGGATGAGGGTCAATACACCACAAACTAGTCCAGGAAACTTGGCTCAAATTCATCTTTGTTGGTGATCCTGGCGTCTCCGTCTTACAAATGTTCCCCATACATGTACATGTAGCTCCCCAGTAACACTTTTTTTTTTTATTCGGCTCTGGTTCCTTGTTTGAATTGCTCTACGTCTGTTTTTTTTCCATGCAAAAATCCCACATGGGGCTTGCAGTCCAGTCCTCTTCCCGCTCCCTACATGTTAAAACCAACGCCCTGTGCCATTTCCTTGTCCGTTGAATGGTTTCATTTGGGTCAATGTGAATCTTTTGTTTCCAACAGTAAGCATTAACCTTAACCCCCTAGGGTGTATGCAAAATCGTATTGAAATTGGAGGATTTGGGAGTGTCAGGGTTCAATAGACATGCCATTATTTCTTTAACGCAACTGGTTTTTGGTATTGTCTATTTCAGTACATACAAAATACTAAAAAAAAAAGGACATCAATGGTGAAGATACATGTACTAGTACAACGACGTGTACAGTAGCATGCACAAGCAGCGTTTTATCCAAACATGTTTGAACCAACTCCCATGTTTAGACAAAACAACAGGCTGTTTTTGTAGTCACCGCTTTGGTGAATCTCCAGATCCCGTACCGTAAAGTGAAAAATGAATGATGTGAAAAAACAAATACTACTCTCCCCCGGAGAAAGGCCTGGATACTGTTGCCATACACGGCATTCATATGTCTGCGGTCTGAAATTAATACATGTAAGTAAAAGGGAAGGATGTGGAGACTGTTCCCTTGACGTCAGAACATCGTTTACATCCGAGGCTTACGAGACTACATACATTGTAAATAACATTTGAGGATTAACATTCTGCTGTGTTTTAATGTTTGTGGCCTGTGACCATTGTTTGCACTTTGTACATTGACATAATACCATAGTGTATTGATCTTGCACAAAGTGTTCCATAAAAGAGGAAAGAAAACCAGCACTGCACATTGGCCGAGCGTGTCAAAAAATCCACATTTCAAGTGACCTTTTTCAAAAATTCTTTGGGCTGAATTACGCATGAAGGGGAAACAGAAACAAGATCACGATACGGAAATCATTCTTTAAAACAATTAATTTATGCACAATATCTGAGTCTGCCTGATGACTTTCCACATTCCAGTGCAGTTACACCTGTAACTTGAACCTTTATGCTTCAGAGGAAGAAATGTTTAAATGCCCTGGTCATCTCTGGTCTAAAGATCCTGCAGGTATGGTAGCTCACAGTCCAATGGTTCAAAAGATTATTGAATTCTTGATTTACAATTGCCAAAGAAATCTTACAACCACAAAATTATCAGCAGCATGGGACAAGCATCTTGGCAGATCCAAATACTTTGCTGACCCATGATATAAATTAAATAGGGAAAATTAAGACTGTGCAAGGCCGTGATTTTTCATTTTTAACATTTGTAATGACACATGTCGAAGGTAAAAAACTACATGTAGGAAATCAGCTGATGTGCAGCAAGACTGCACGTCAGTTAAAAAAATTCAGAGCTTTTTATCCATATGCCAGCATGGAAAACTTCTAATTTCACTGCACTGGAGCATGTTACATCGTACCTGAATGAAGCCATGTACGAGTACATTTACACATCAGTATACAATAATTTGCTTGACAGAGCAAGCAACCGTGTTAACCATATGCTGCTGGGGAACCCGGTTTCGGGTACCTTGGGTTTGTATGCATAGCCGGGGTGCCCGAAATCGGACAAAAGAGCTGGGCCTTGTAACAAAAGACCGTACTCAGAATAAAAGACCTGCTGCTGGGAATTGCCATCGTTTTTCAGCTTCCATTTTATCAAAGGTAAGCCGTCATTGTTTGAAACAGTGAGTACACCACTGTTTTCGGAACAGCGTGGTCGCAGATCAGCACCGCGGACAAAAGTGTGCAGCTCCCCATCGATGAGCCATACATGTACATGTACAGTACTGCTGCGTGCTAATCCAGCCGCAAGTGAAAAGATGCCACTGGTATTCAATGGGAACAAAGGAAACTAGGTAACATCTCTCAATTCAGGGCTCTCTTTACTGGGCAGCAGGCCTGGCTGAAATACTCGGACGTCAATGGAGGTTACATGTCAGATAAGAGTAGACACCAGACAGTCATTCGTATGGGTGTAAACGTCCATTTTGTGAAATTATGAATTTTTGAAGAATTTTGAACACGGAAAATCTTAAAAATTGCCCATATGTAGGCACTGCATTTTAAAAGCACCTGGCAGCATATGGTTGAACTGGTGGCTGGGTCGAACTTAAGTATTTGACTGAGATGACACAAGAATATTTGACAATACTCAGATGTGTTTGAGGAAATGTTTGCCGTTGTACCCCCCCCCACAGATTACATACTAGTGACAATAGTTTCCAAGTATTTTAGGATTTAGAATCTGTCTCCCAAGTTCATATCCATGTTATGGGCATCGCCATTTGGATTTCTTCCAGAATATTCAATGGTTAAGTGATGATCTGTAAAGTGTGTATGTATGTGCTCTTTGAGATCAAATTTGCAAATGTTTATCAATCAAGAGCTCACATCATCACAAACTTCTTGACAACAACCTTTCCAAAAAAATCACACAGCCTATTGGTAGGACAATTTCTTTTTGATCTTGTTCACTAGATGGATTTGAAATAATGAAAGTAAAATTCTGGCTTTGGTAATTGATAAAGAAATGGATATTTCACCGACGTCAGCTACACGCGCAATAACTGTTTTGGGGGACTTGGAAATTCTTACCCTGACAACTTTTTCACATTCAACAGGTAAGAATCAGACCATTTGTGACCAGCTCTAGCAAAATGGGTAATACATGCAAGTCACCAGATTCAGGTTATGAGTTTTTGACATGACTGGATTGTGTACATCAAAAGCTACAATTTAATATATGAATGACCCCCGTAGTGCACTGCATTCTGGAGATATATGGACATTTGTATATCCACCTTTTCGGAAGCCCTTTTTGAGAAAAAGCTCAGAAAGTGTGGCACTTGGAAACACAATGCTACAATGTACAATGTATGTACGATTTACTAGTGAATGATCAATTTTTTATCAGCATCCATGTTTGTAGTCACAAATTCTGAAAAAATTAATGTTAAAGAGGCTGTTAAAGGGAAAATACAAGAAAAAAATGTTGCCCTCTACAAATAGAACAGGCCATAACATGTTTTGGCATTGCGGGACTTATTATCCTTTTTTGGAGAGTGGGCCACATTTTACATTACAATTTCTGACTTTTTCCCTTGAAAGATCCCCCACAGCCACGAATCCTCTGTAATTAAATGTTGGAGTCAATCTAAAACAACAAAAGCTGACTATTCTTAATTTGTTGGAGCAATAAAGAAAGTTGTTAGTTGGGAATTAAACCCAGCTGGGAGCATCGCAAATGGGCTCCACTGACATGTACACATGTGTACACACTGTCAACTTGTAGTAGCTAGACAGCAGCTTGTGCCCAAAAATCAGCGGCAATTTAATAACCGTTACAGGCTGACACATGTATACGCATCAAAGAGGGCACTGCCTACAAGCCAGCTAAGTATCGTTTCATTACAATGGGAGTCAGGTTAGCATAGTGGTTCTTTCCTCGCCTTCCATCTCTGTGGCCCGGGTTCGAATCCCGACCCCAGTCCACATGTGGATTGGGTTTTCAGTCCCTATAGTATACCTGATTGCATGGGCTTTACCCAGAATATTCCTCTGGGGTTTTCCTCCCACCACTAAAACTGTAACTGCTTCTCACTGTCTCCTCTCTACAGGTTTCTTCAGGTTTGCAAGCTACAGTGCCTAGGGCACTTTTGAGGAATCCTTGGTGTCATTACCAGAAATAATAGTAATTCAGCCAGTGATAGCTAAATATCTGCTGTCATTTGATAAATTTACAAATAAAATCTGATATGTAATAGTAATGATTTGAAGGAAATGAACATGATGCTTTTTGACAACCATAACCATGAGGCATAATGGTTACCCAATCCTGTGAACTTATAATTTTACCGAACCAAAACATACACATAGAAGCTACATTAGTGAACCACGCATAGGGAAATTCCACGCATAAAAATGGTCGCGCATAGCGACACACAAGCGACATGCATCATGACTTCATGTCACGGCATCAAAATGACATCACGTCCAGCGCACAATCAACCTGAAATCACCCTCATTTTCCGACCTCAGGACATCATTTGAAGGCATCGAAACACCCAATCCACATTGTAAATGCTAGAATCTTACCTCACTTCGACTTCTCAGGCTATTGCTCATTGTTAACGGGACAAAATTCCTCAGAAATTCCTGTTTTTGTGGTCTCAGACATGTCCCGCCGAAGGGGTCATCACAAATCTAGAGAGCCTGACAATGGATAAAAACATAGCCCTTTAACCAAGTGGAAGACGCTGAATGAGAGAGGGCGTCTCATTGGCTACTCTGCTCAAACGAAAAAAATTATACGTTTCATGTAGGATTGAAAATTAAGATATCGACTTTAAAAATAATAACGAGGCGATTGAATTTATACAAATAGGATGGCAATTCATTTACAAAGTATGACATTTTCACAATAACTTGAAATTATCCCTTAAATGTTCAAACAGTAGAAAATTCATTGACCAATGGTGTAGCCTTTCGACACTTGGGGAAGGAACAAAACAGCTGGATCCATCTATTTATATTTTGATACAATTACGCTTGCGCAACAATAAACTTCCGGGTTTATTGATTTGGCGGGAATTACAAAGCAGGGGACAAAGCTTACCCGCCAAATTTGTTTGTTACAGCTACAAAAGAAATCTAGCATGTGTTTGCATTCCCAGCATATTATCTTATTGGGCAGGGCGTGACTTTTTACGACAAAGGGGGTTCGGACGTTCTCTGATGAATAAAATGCTACCGTTTCTGTACGGTTGTTTATTCAAGTATTTTAAGGCCATCGAAGCTTGGAGTTGGGCTGGGAACTTCAGTATCCATTTGTGGTTAAAGTCCATGACAGCTGTTGAGCTTTTAAGATCTAAATGCGATTATTACCTTGTCTTTTCTGAGTCAAGTTCAAATCTTAGACTATAGCATAACAACATAATTATCTACTTTTTACAAAATGGAAAGAAATTTACAATCAACCTAAGCAAAGAAAACACCAGTGTGAAAACTTACCAATATGTCTTTTATAAAAACATGTTTTTTGCCTTGTATCATATCTCTGGTATCATTTTGGCTATTCTTTATATGTATTTTTATATTCCACCATACTAATGGGGATGGGGGTATTACAGCTTTTCAACTTCATGGAAACCGGAAGAACTAAAGATCCAGCAGAAATTATTCCTTTGAAAAGTTAAAATAAACCTTCTGTGCATGATGATGCAAATGCGACTTCATAACATTACTGGGGTGTTTAATATTTCTTTCCAGCAAATTCTCACATCCATTCAATTGGGATTAAAAGTTGGGATCAGTTCAGAATAATTTTAATCATTAATAACAATATGTAAATTGGATTTATTCTTCAAGAAACCATATTTTTCATTTTATTGCAGCTCAATAATTTAACACAAGGCAAAAATTCATAGTAGGCAAATGTTACACTTTGTAACAGTTTAAACAAGCGTGGCAAATTTACAAACAGGTGACAATATAGTGTGTATCACAACAATGCCCCTTTCTCACTGTGCGATTAAAACAAATTGTAAACGATTAATTGCTATTACTTGTTACGATGTTAATTATAAAATTTCAAAAAAGAAGACACTGAGCTCAGAGGTAAATACATAAAACTGGAGTCTAAAATCTTGGGCAAGTGACTGTGGACCTTCAAAGACAGCTTCCACTCTCACAAAAAGTTCCAAAATTAATGTATAACACTGAACAAGAAATATATATTGTGAATGTATTTGTTATTGCAAGAATGAATTAAAATTCCTTACACTGAACAATTGAGCTTTCGATCTGTGGATTTGGAGCAATTATTAATTTTTTTTTAATAAGTTCAGATAATACATTTTAGCTTCTTACAATGAATATTATGATTGTCTCCAAAACTAAAGAACATCAAAAAGGTGAGCATCATCAGAACTGATCAATTCTCTAATCTGCCAAACTTGGAAAACAAAATTACTCATACACCACTTTTTGTGTGTGAAAAAGGCAAAACAAGAGGTCCAGTTCTTGTATCATTTCAGAAGTTACACAAAGTCTCCTGCAATCACAGCTAACTGTTAATAGAATGACCATATCAAATTATCAATATTTCATGAATACATTTACAAACATAAATTACAATGGTAAGTTTCCCCCAAATTGGTTGTGGACAAATACTCTCTCTGTAAAACAAAATCATGGCAGATGCATGGTAATTTTATGGACAATGGAAATGAACAAAACATTTAAATAACTGATGCATTTTACATTGTTTCCTGCTCATAGTGACAAGAAGTTGCATAAAAAGGAATGACACTTTCCGAAAACTACCTGACCCAGGCAAACATCCACAAACGTTTAAGCAAAGACAGTTGCTTTTATACTGCAAGAAAATATTGGCTTAGTGAGAACGGGCTGCCAGCTAAAATACCTTGCAATGTACACTGCTCACAACTGGTTCTCGGCCACTTTCAGAATGAACATGTTTAGGAAAATTTTGGGGCCTGTCTCCACAACGTTTTCTATCAGCGCCAATGCACTATCCTCGAGGTTTTTCAGTCATAAATACTTCTACAAGAACCAAGCCACATTTAAGTGTTTCAAAATGACGACGGTTCAAGAGGCTAGTAGTTTTAGCGCCCTCACGGCTGGTACAATCCTATCCATTGACACAACCCCTGTAGATTGTCCAAAAAAAGGCAAACAAACAGAATTGCATGAGGGTGGATCTCTGTGAAACACGGAATGTAGATGATCATGTATTCAGCTGAAACTGAATGAAGGGAAAGCCCTGATATTTTTTCAGGGGGAGAAATTTCGGAGTGCAGCAGTTTTCGACGGGAGTGGATGTGTTGATGGGGTACGGGGACACAAACAATTGTTAATCACGTAAAACGAACCACAATTTCTGGGTTTTTTCCCTGGCTGATCACTTCTGAATAGAAGAGGTCGTGCTTCAGCCATCTTTAACCATGCATGTACATGCCCGAATTGCCCTGAATTGAAGATTTACTTATCTGTATCTGTCTATCCAACAGCGCATTTAGCGCCAATCACGGGATGAAAATGAGTCAAGAAGACAATGAAGAAATCTTCAGTTTTAGAGTCAGGAGGAAAATCCCGGATAAATGTTTCGTGGAAACCCACGGACTCACGTAGGGACTGAAAACCCAATCCATACGTGAACTGAGCCAGATTCAAACCTGGAGAGCAGAGGTGGAAGGCAAGGAAAGAAACACTACATCAACCTGAAGGTGACGAACCACAACCCTTCAATGTGTTACTCACCAAGAATCTCCATCAGATCTTTCACCATGGAGTCAAAAATGGGGAAGAACTTTCGATAATGCTCCATTCTTGAGATAACCCTGACAAAAAGAGTATGCAAAACAACCTTCTCACTCCACAATAGTCTTCATGGGATTAACAACTCGGGAATAGAGCTGCACTTATTTTGCCACAACTCTTGACAGAATTGGTTATGTTGGGATGATGTATTGACCTTTGACATTGTTATTTATTAAGTACTACATGCTCAGTGCTTTCCAAGAGTCTCAGGGGAAAGTTTGCTTGAGTGAAATTAAAAGCATGACCAGTGGCACACCCAAAGGATGAGGCCTCAGGAGGATTCAGCCCCAGTCTCCTGTGGTACGATGGGTGGGGGGGGAACATGGAGCAGCATGAGCTGGTTCAGGGGGTAAATTCCGGGCCGAGCCCACTCCCCCTGCCAAATGCTAGGTGCACCACTGTCCCTAACTACTTACTAATACAGACATCCAGGAAGCACTGAGCTCAGAGCAGTAGAGTGGTTGAGACTTTTACCTGTCAAGATGTTCTTGCTGGAGAAGCTGGCCCAGCAGGTGCGTAGTAGAGCTTGAGTATAACTCGCAAAGCTGTGTAGTTGCTGTTACGATGCTATTGGTTGAGGCAGCCTCATCTGTGGAATCGATATCAAGATGATCAAAGGAAAAAAAAATCAGTTCAGACGTGTGACGTTTTGAGTGATGATGTAAACCTTGGTGGTCACATCAAAGAAAGATATCCTCACTGAGGGAAAAAAGTGGCTCAGAGAAGAACTCGCGGTTAGTCACTACATGATTCAATCAGTAACCTCTGATCACATTCAGAAATGCGGTACACAAGAGAGGGTGGTAAACTGAGCACTTGGTGGGGTGTAAAAGTGACAAAGTTAACTCTCTATCTTGTGAGTAAACAAATCCATTAAGCCCCTCCCCAATGAGGTTATGGCCAATCACAGTTTGGACTGCAATGTCAACCATCCCACTAAGGTCTGACACGTATGCCAGTATCTCCAATGAGCACAATTGGAACAGACAGAGCAGCAGTGGAGAGATACGCCTTGTTGTTCATGATTGCCGTAAGCAGGGTCAACTGTCCGACGTGGCAAGAGAATATGTGCTCCCTGAACCATGTTCGGTTGGACAAACACAGTTGGTGGTGGGTGCTTGGGAGAGTGCAGTGCCTATTGTCCCAAACAGAAAGGTGGGTCAAGTTTGTAGGGCATGCTTTGCTTCCCCCAACACTACCTTCTCAGGGAAATGTGACTCACCAAGACCGAGGACATCCCTGAGAGAATGCAGCACATTCTGCATCTCGCCTACCCGCGAGTACAGCTCGTTCATCCGGGTGTACACACCGCCCTCTGTTGGCACGTCGAACAGCCTCTGAAAGTGGGCAACCATCTTGGCATGCTCTGAGTCCATGCGTGCCTTGACAACAGACGGCGTCTGTCAACAAGAACACAGCATCAGGTTTTTCATGAACGAGAGCATAATTTTGATTGACAAGAGTGTAATAAGCCAGTTCAATATTTTAACGAGGCAAGCACATTCACGACTGACAAAAACACTTGACATCACACCCGCTAAAACAAATTCAGTGTGTATGAGAGTTGGCATTTGGATGTGATTATTGGGCTGATCTCACATGTGTATACTGATTCTCCAAAATGACCTTTGACACGCTTCATTTATAGAGTACTGGCTGCTGAAAACCTAACTGCAGAGGCGTAGCTAGGATTTGGGGGGGGGCATCAGCATCTTATGGGGGGGACCAGCTGTCAGTGGTTTGGTTTTGGGGGCAACTTTTTGTTAGCCTTGTTCAATATCCATTCATCCTTTTTTTTTTCAGTGGGGAGAACCTGGGGGTACGAGGAATTTGTGGGGGGGGGCCCACCCGCCCCAGTTCCCCCCCCTATGGCTAGGCTATTTCCTAACTACACTGTCTTATTTAGATATGTATCTTCCACACTTACAAGGTGTGTTATCATTTGTATACCCTTTCAAACATTGTTCTACAATTTGAGTTTATCTGGTACCTTGTCTCGGGCTTCAGCCAATAAATGGATCCAGCTTTCCAATGTAGGGACCACATGGTGATAGGATCGCTGGCACCACATACTGTGTTTGTGACGGTGGGGGTGGTGGGATCTGTGTATGCGTCTGTCAATGTGTTTGTGACCCTGTTTGTGACCGTCTCCGTCTGTGGCATGATGGTGAGAAGACTTCACCACGGGCAAGTTGAAGGAAGCGCCTAACTCAACTATGTCTAAAACTTGCTTGGTAAACTAGATTGGAAGAGCGAGAACATCAGAAAGAATATCTACAACAAACATTTTCAAATCACATTCAGGATGATTGTTTGCATGTGTTTCTTTTCACTTTAATGCTATTCTACATCACTGTGATGCAATTTCCATCAAAGAGAAATGATTTATAATATCCACTGCAGTTCTAAACTCATACTCACCACTTCCATGTTGTGGTATTGCTGCATTGAGACATTCTGTAAGATGTTTGGCATGGTCACTGCTGAGGCATCCCTGTACTTGGAAGATTTTGTCTCCTTGTGTCTAGCTCTAAAGATGTGCAAAACACATCACAAGACTAGAGTCTTCAATTCAGTAACTTGAAAAAAAATGGAGTCACTTGGAAAAATTTAGACTCAATTCAAGATTAATAATAATAATGCATATCTGTCAGGCATTTATTATTTTGTAACACTTATTATTATCGCTATGCTTAACACGCCTAATATTCCTGAAACTACCTCAGCCTGTTGCTACCATTTCAGGCACAAATCGCCAATCAAACACACCAGAAATCTCTTCCATCACAGGCATCCATTTATACCCCCCTGAAAGGAGGCAGGCAAGTAGGGGTACAGTGACTTGCCCAAGATCTCAACACATGCTGGATTCGAACCCTTAACCTTGTGATTGGAATTACAAATTCTACCCATCAGGCTGTATACCCTTAAAAAGTATGACCCCCGGAAATGGGAGGAGGGTACAGTACATAGTGTGGCAACAGGGGATGCAAACGTAGAATTAGAAGCAGGCCAATGAAATTTTTCGAAAGTTGTGCGTGGGTTCGCTCAGCTAGATCCATTTGCCACTTTGTCAGGAGAAAAGCTCCAATTAAAATTTGGAATGCTGCATGTTTTTCAAATTTCTACCTGGTGCTAAGCTGGTCCACGATCTGAATGACCTCTTGCGTCTTACTGGCAATGTGATCCACATACTGGCAGCTTGTGGAGGAACTGTAAAAAAGAGAGGAAGTCCGATTAGAAATATCAGCTGTTTGATATAGCCTTTTGCCCATCTCAAACTTCATCACTAGCACTTGCAATTCTCAAGTCTCTCCAGGCATGGAGGGACGTCAGAATTCTCACTTTGTTCTTCAACTAGTCAGTGCTGAACAGCAGAAGAGAAGTATACAGGATAATGGCAAAAGTTACCCTAAATTTCAACAGTATTTATAAATGGCACAAAAATATCTTTTCTGTAATCTGATAATGATAAAGTTCACAGAGCTCTGATAGTTAATTAGTTTTCAATTTTTAAAACCTTTATTTTTGTCTTTCCTTGAACAAATTTAATACCCTAAAATGAATGCTGAAGTAAGCCCCGTATTAATGAACTTAAAACAACAAACGGACATTCAATGTAAACTGGGATTGAAGTTTTGACTAGCGTTACCTGGCAAGTAGTGGGTTGGTCTTCAGTTGCTGCAAGTCATTCAAGACAGATTTTGTGGTTTCACGAAGCTGCTGAAGTACCGAGGCATACTCACTCTGACAAATTATAAGAACAATTCAAAATTGCAAAACCCGTTATATAAAAGAACAATTCAGTTCATCGGCCCACCAACTGTAAGCAAGAAGCACTTAATTGGAACTATGGAGTTGGTAGCATGTGAAGATTCCAGGGTTTCCCCTGCCTATTCACCTGTGAGGCGGCCCACCTCCTAGATTTTAGTAGCCACCTCAGGCTTTCCTGTTGAATTTTACCACCTCACACTTAAAATATACAAGGATGGGAGGAAAAATGCAAAGTAATTTTGATAGTTTGAAATAGATCAGTTTCAAATCATTCAGAATGGTAAAAAGGACATAAAATTCAAGATAAGTTTGTTTTAGAGTGGACATTTGGGGTAAATGTATTATCACCCTGCACAGAATTTATTCAAGACCTTTTTCAAAACACTTGCTTCTGTTTGGGGTGCTGGAATTTTGACAACCTCAAGCTGACATATCTGTACCACACAGGAAAACCTGGACGAATCCTATACATTAGTTCTAGAACCAGGGTAGCACTGAACTGAGCTTCTGCACTATTTGTCACGCTTGTAAAAGTTAGTGGTAAACGCAAAACAAAAGAGAAACACAAAATCAGACTTAACAGGCCTGCAATACTTTCATGGTATGCTGAATTTACAAAATAAACACTGATAAAACATAAAGAAAAATATTACTGAAGGCCAATTGTTACCATGGCACTCCCTCCATGTTTGTCCAAACGACGACATGCCGTGCATACCTACCTCATTTTGATGTGGCATTCTGTTTTACTCCCAAACAATTGAGGGATTTCTGGCTATTATGATGTGCATATCTTCTCTGACATGGATGTGGCTGTTAAAAAAAATCAAAAGGGCCAAATTTTACAAAAATTAATTAGGCCCTAGGGCTAAAACATATTTTTAAAAGCATTATACCCTTTTATTTTTTGATCAGGTACGTCGGGAAGTCTGAGTAACAAGGACTCTATGAATTGCCTCATTAAACATTTACAAATTACATGGGTGCCGACCATGTTGAAACATTAAAAGGGGTGTAGCGATTCATCACCAGATTAGAGATCTAGATTACTCGGACTAGTTCAGGCAGTGACCAGAGGTCATGGTCAAACCAGTTTCCATAACATTCAGCATGTTCAGGACATTGTATAGCAATACAGGTACACTTAAGTTCTTACGCATTTCCCATTCCTCTTTCTAATTTAGCAGGACCATGATGTTGGGCCGCCCCCGGGCCTTTTCCCGATGGATTTTTCACGAATCGAGTAAAACGAATACGACAAGCATGACAGCAGGGAACCTATTAATTCCCTTTATTGGGGAAACATCACTCAGCATATTTCCTCGTTGCGATAGACTAGCGCCTGACTGAACGGCTGCTTTCAGCACAATACCTATTAAGAAAATTCAGAGAAGAAATGGCCCTAAATTTATCGAAATTTTTAACACAGCCTACCTCAAACTGAGATCACAATCAATCAAGGGTGTCAAATTTGCGCAAGCGCGTTGTTTATTGTTGCTGAGCAAAGATGTAGTCTGGCACCCCACGGATAGACACGATTCAAGACATCCGAACGGCACAGAATCTAGACCTTAAACCGGTTGATTTTTTTTCTTCTGCTTCTGTTTTGCAGTGGGTTGCACTCATCCGCTGTTACGACTGTTGAGTTCTGGTATTGTAATCAAATTTTATTTATTCAGAAAGATATAAGTTAGAACAAATCATTAATAATAACTGATATATTCTTTATGAAATTGCTCTGGAAAATATTCCTCACCATAAACACCTTGCATTTTGAAGATAAAAAGAATTTCTATGAAGCTGGAAGTAGGACCTAGGCTAGCCCTGGTGGACTCTCTGACCGTACTTCGTAATGAAATGAAGACAACGTCCAACCTGGGCTAGACCTAGGCCTACATCATACATGTACATGTAGTTACTACATGACATGTAGGGCCTAGGCCGAGAACCTACATGTAGGCATGGTAGGTCTATATGGTGGTCTAGCCATGTCGGCCTAACGTAAGACTTGGCCTAGGCCTACTCCTCAGTGCAGTACTCGGTTGATTTGTGGTAGGCCTACATCATGTGGTAGTGGTAGGGCATCTGTGAAATCCTTGATAAACTGAGGCTTGTCATAGGAAATCTCGGAATTCATTTCCTTTAAAACCCAGACTTGGAAAGAACAGTGACAATCAGGCCATGGAGGTAGGAAAAGATTGATGTCTCAACAAACAGCTTATGTGTGTGTGTTAAAATTGTTATCAATTTTCTTTTATTTTCTTCTAGTTTGCTAGTGACTAAGGAACTGATTGAGTCTGGTAGCGATGGCAGATCTTGTGGCTGTCTGGGAGGTAGCACTCAGTGATGGGATACACAAAGTGGAATTTGAACATGGAACAACATCAGGAATGAGAGTCATTCGTGTGGACAATAAGGTAGACCTAGACACGTCTACTGTTCGGAAAGAGTTCCATATTCAGACAACACTAATTTCCCTTAAAATGTTACAACCGTCAGAGAGTGATAACATGTCCTAAAAAGTGAAAGCTTGCACAGAAAATTCTGAAACATTTAGGCCTACTTTAGAAAACACATTTTTTCAGACCAGTCTCATAGGTTTGTGTACAGGGCCTCAAGCGTTTTCTGTATGTGGAACTCTTTCCCTGCTGTTCTTCCATTGTTTTACAGTCACTTTGCCCATTTGCCACTTGGCCCATTTACCGCTTTGCCCATTTGCCACTTGGCCCATTTACCGCTTTGCCCATTTGCCACTTGGCCCATTTACCGCTTTGCCCATTCGCCACTTCACCCTCAACCCCTTCACCCACTGTCACTTCGCCCATTACCACCTTGCCCGTTTTCCACTTCGTCCACACGTCACTTCTTCCACACCGTGGCCAACATAATATTTTGCGTGATGCATGCCCTAATTTCACAAGCATGTAGGCCTGTATTTAATCCACAAATCTCCACATCCTTTAACAGGTTTATTGCTTGCAAATTTTTGAATACAGTAATCAAAATATCAAGACTCAGACAAACTTCAAGCATTTCCCAAAAAAAGGCATTGTTTCTTTTACAACGCTCTGTAGTTTTCTAACAGCGTGCACTGAGACATCAAGAAAAACGGAAAACACCCAGATGCTTGAAGACAACTTTAATTCTAACTGAAATATTTCTGAAGTTTTGATAATTTTATGTTGAATTTGGGTTGTCAAAATTCGGAATGTGCTTTATATTGTCGTAGGAGTGGCACTGCTATTCCGCCTTCTTCTTGCTACATGTGCTGGTTGGTGCCACGACCACTTTTAGCTTTGCATTATTAAACTCACATCAAAGAAAACCTTGACATTTTGCAAATCCACCACATCTTACTATTGCTATTTGGTCTATCCTACCATCCAGGATGGGTAGGATTGTTTTAATGTATTCTCTCCTCTTTTTATTTTTGACAAAGGCAATGGGTGAACTGGCACATGGGCAACATGGCAAATGGGTGAAGTGGCACGTGGGTGAAATAGCAAATGGGTGAAGTGGTGCGTGGGTGAAATGGCAAATGGGCGAAGTGGCGCGTGGGTGAAGTGGCGCGTGGGTGAAATGGCAAATGGGCGAAGTGGCACGTGGGTGAAGTGGCGCGTGGGTGAAATGGCAAATGGGTGAAGTGGTACATGGGCAAAGTGACCGACACGGCTTCCATCACAGGTTGGAGAGTGATTGGCATACTTTAATTGTTGTCACCAAAACTCCCCTGAAAGCTTCTTAAATCTGCCCAAAGCCAACTCTACAAACCAGTAAGGTTTTGTTACGTAACACAGGGGAAGTCTTTTAGAGTGCCTGCACAGTGTGTCATCATTGAGGGCAATTTTGGTTGAAAATTCATTGACAGTGAAAGAACAAAGTGGCTAGTCATGCAGATCACATAGGACCAATGGCCTTTCCCCTCCATTATGGTACACCCTGCAAACGCTCTATTCAGTGAAAACAGAAGCACTTCCCACCACTCTTGTCATCATAGGAAATTCTGCGGCGGAATTGGATGTTCAAGCTTGTTGGGCGGGAGCACTTCAAAATCGGTCCGTGCAAGGCGTGCATCAACATTGACACCTCGGGAGGATTCGCCTACGAGTACACGCTGGAGGTGAACGGCAAGTCCCTCAAGGAGTTGAGAGAACAGCGTAGCAAGATGGCCAGAGTCTGGTTGACCGTCATCGATGGACATCAGTTCAGGATTGTCTTGGGTAGGTGCCACCCAGCCGTTGACTTGTTGCAAGGTTTATTGTCAAGTCATTGTATGCTCTGCTTGTCAGTCCTGTGGTTCCGATTGCGAGCTATGAACTCGACACGTGTAAGGTGTCCTCTGTTAGTCTTTGTTCTTCCTTAATAAGACAAAAATAGCTCTCATTTCTGAACACCTCACGTACAAAATACTCAAATACTGTTTGTAATGGGCAAAAAATTTGGTGACTCTTTGTGTGGCTAGTGGCTCGGCAGTGGTCATATGATTTGGAACTAGACTGGGTTAAGATGGGCTAAAAAATGATGGCTCAATGTGCCAGAGTGCATTTGCCAATTCTTAAAGACTCAAATGACTGATTCTCTTCCAGAAAAAGACAGCATGGATGTTTGGTGCAATGGCCAAGTCTTGGAGACAGCGGTAAGTTAACTTACGATTGCCATTTGGAATTTGTCTTCACCGCTTGCAAAGATTGCATGATGTATTTTTTTTTTACTGGACGCAATGCATCAACTCCAAACAATGAAGAGGCAGCTGTCACTTGTCTATTTAACCAAAGAAGTAAGCATGTTGCCATGGCAACAAGCCAAATACACCTCAGAGGCCGTTATAGCAAGTACAGGGTGCACCCACACGAAGTTAACTGGAACCTATTTGGTAATGACCAATCTGGAAATAAAGTTTTTTCCATCAATATTCCATTGATTTTTGGGCCAAAATTTCGATTTTTTTGGCCAACTGCTTTACCCCTGTGTTGATGAAATGCACTCTCTTGAACCTGGCACTCTGTTCTCGAAAGCATCAGTAATAAAAGTTGTGTGTTCCTTCCAGAAAGGCGATATGAGAGTGTGTCAGTTTTTGGTCGTGAAACGGTAACAGATTTGAACCAGGTAGCAGCCATTTTGGGTCAGGCATTGGGTGTCCACGCTTGCGGCAAATACCCGTGGTATTGAGCCCCAAACCATTTTTTCCCCATGCTTTCCAGGGCGAGTTCGTGGAGGACGGCACCGAGACACATTTTACCCTGCCCAACGGCCTGGCCTGCTACATCAAAGCCGTCAGCAGTGGTAAAAAGAAAGAAGGAATCATCCACTCCCTGATCATCAACGATAACGAGATACCAGAAGCTGTAGAGTAAGCCTTTCAATCAATTTGATGCTTCTTTTGATGCCGAAGAAAATTGTACAAGATTGGATGGAGTGGAAGGAGAGTCAGGAATAGACACCAGGAAATGCTGAGAATAGGGACTTGGATTGAAGGAAGGCGAGACTCACGAAAAACAAGATGGTACCAAGCCCTGGGATGTGTTTTGAACTTAATACCAATTTCATCATTGGTATTGGCAAAGTCTTTTGTCAGCAACTACTTACAAATGTGTTTCCAGTGCAAGATTCTATGATTGCTGCAAAGCTCTCTAAAGGAAGATTTACTGTGACTTAGGTTTCAATAGAAATCTTGTAGAATATACATGTGTGTAAAAGAAATTGGAGGTATTTTTAGTTATTCCGTAAGATTTAAAATGTATTCAGTACCATGTTAGAAAAATTAAAAATATATACTTTAATAACAATAATATGCAAAATCCACACCTTGGTAGAAGTATAATATTTTTATATCAAATTCAATGTGATGCAAAGATTGAAGTGGGTCGTTATGTACATGAACATGGCGGAAAAAGTGAAACTATTAATTAAATGGACTGGAATAGACAGGTTGATTTCACTGTATTGATGGTTGTACCTGAAAGCAGTTTTTAGATAGTGAGATTTTCTGACCTGTAATTTCTAAAACAAATAGCTTGACCTAGCATGTCACACACATTTGTAATGAAGCCAGTTGGCATGACCGGTATGGTAGTGGTTGTACACTGTTCAGACTCACACAGGATGTCTCTGAAGGCTAGACCTTGTTTGATCCGAGCCCAGCCTACTACTTGTTCAGGCCAGGATCCCTCTCTAAAGGTCAACAAAAGGTGAAGAATGCAAGAAAATGGCTGAAATGATTTGGTTCCACATGAGGCTCTCGTTTGGGCTGTGTGCACACTACACGATATCACGGGCCAACTAGCAATTTGATTCTGTCCTTGTGGTCAGAAAGGTACATTTTATTGGCAAAGGTCTGTGGAATTCAACTTCAATGCTCTAAAAAATTAGCAGTTTCAAATGTTTGGGGTTTTTTTTGGAACCACTCAGAACTTGGCAAAATTTGTTATGATAGTGTATGGTTCAACAGAAAAAACAATTTCATTTTTAACACTTCAACATTTCCTTCTATAAAATTGACTGTTAAAATCAGGCAAGAATTTTTTGTATGGTAAAAACCACTTTTGTATTTCCTTTGTTTTGCCGCACAGTAGCCCGAGAACAAAAATCATGAATAGCAGAATTTCATCTCAGAACACATGGGAACACAGTGTCTTATGTCGGGTGACGTTTCATTGTTGACTTGGGGTTTGATTTTGCAAAGTTGACATCACTTCAGTATAAATTTGTACAATTTTTTCCCCTAATGACAGGCATGCAACTTGTAGACTAGGACAAAACACAAGGAAATTCCAATCTTGACATGACTTTGCACGGTGTTTTTCAATTATTAATGGCAGGTGTGTGAAGTGAAAAACAAGGAAATCATCTGATCCGAGACTAAGTTGCATGCCTGTAATAATTGATGTAGTTTGTCCATGACCCTCGTGGTCTTGCGTTATTGCTGTCAAATTTCAATTTTCTATTCAAATCATGTACCCTTTGAAAGGAAGTCCACAGCGATTATGGAATTCATAGGACTACATGTACACGTGTATAAGATACCTATAGTGGTCAAGTTATTAGCAAGAAAACTGCCAGTTTTGCTTTTTTAAACCTTTTACTGCAGTAATAACAGAAAGGCCCAACACACACTTAGTCCTTTTCGCAACAGCCGATCCAAATACATTTGCTGCACTTCTGTTTGCTTAAGACAAATCAACCGACCAAAATTAGAAGCCATTACTACGGGGCCATCCTGTTTGAGCGCAGGTGGTGCACACGCATGAAATTCCTCCTTGACTAACAGGCACACGTTGCGCTGACCCGAGACAGCCGAGTGTAAATGGCCCCACGGAATGGCGTCTCGTTGGATTCGTCTATATGCAAATCACATAGATCTGACTTTTACCTCTGTTGACAAGTTGAGTGCCGAGTGCACATGTAATACAGGTGGTATTTATTGTCTACTTTGTCGGGTGATTTTCACCTGCTTCTAACACATTATATTTGTCTTGTACTCGAGCTTGGGCAGGTGAAAAATAAATGACCAGCCAGGAACCAAGCAGTTTAATGACATCAAATACAGACCTGCCAATGTGCCATACTCCTTCCTGAGGTCAGGCATTACCACACAATAGATTAAAAATTTAACTGAACTGAAGGTTCATTTAAATACCTTATTAATCTACTTTGTGGCAATGCCTGACCTCAGGAAGGAGTACGGCTAGTTTGGCAGGTCTGCAAATACCTTCAAAATTCGCAGACCTCTTACAGTAATCCACTCAAGCTCATTTTGTTTTGCTGTGGCTGATGTGAACCTTTTTAAGGTATTTTTGTGTACATATAAAATATTTACAGGTAAAAATATCTATCGGTCCATTGCAGATGCAGAGTCAAAATGGTAAGGCATTGCTTGACAAAAACTGTTTCATTAATAACTGTAAGTAAAAGATTGTCAGTGAATGGTTCTGAAAATTCTGAATAGATTTTGCTACTTATACATGTGAAAAGTTTGCTTTTCTTTTCATTGAGTGATGTTAGAATCAGGATTTTGACCTCAAACTTATATTAAAGCATGGCAGAGACTGAGTGGATCAAAATTACTCTTTTGAAGGGAGAAGTTTCTCAGTGTAAAGAATTGTTGACATAAACCATTTTGCTTAATGACCAGAATTGATAACTGGTATGTAGCAAATGTTGTAGCAATTTTTTTCATTCAGGAAATAAATCCTTCAAGAATATGTTTAAGCACCACTGGTCTTGTAACACTTACTGCAGATGCTGAAACTCGGTAGCTTGTATTCACATCTTGAAAAAAAATTGTTGGGGGAAAAGAGATACTGCCCTCAAATGAAAGTACACGACACGATCACACATCACGTCCATTACCTTATGGCAGTTGACGGTACTGATTCCAGAGGGAAAACATAATTTGTTGATCAAACTGTTGCCAAGCAACCCCTTGTATCCACACACCTTTGCTTCATGGCTGCACAATTACGTGCGTGAAAGCCAATATGTTCTTACCATTAAGCTGGGGGGGGGTCTTCTGGTAAAAAGTAATGAAATGACCGGCAAACTGCAGAATGGCTTCTTCCTGTTAAATAAACAAGAAGCAATACAACAAGGTAACAACGGAAATGAAACACTCATTGCACATTACCAACATATCTAAGAAATGAATTGAATTTGTCAGTGGAGACGTTTTCAAGCCCTTTATCAAATCCTAGTTGAATAATTGTTGAACAATTTGCAGCTTACTGGCTTCTTGAATAGAGACTACACGTAGTACAATCCTTCCATGGGTTCGTCCAGTGCCCCCCCCCTTGACATTTTAACACAGCATCTTACTTTTCACAATTCATCATAAGTAATACATGTACTTACCATCTGATAAGAACCAAGCAAAACCATCATCAGTCCCTGGTTAAACAGGTAATGGTCAAAATACCAGCATTCGGGTCATTTACCCCTGGGGTGTGCCTTTAGTAAAAATTATTACCAACACAGTGATAAGACAGTACAACTTGAACTTAACTGATGGAAAATGGTCAATCAATTCCAGATACCAAAAATACGCAATATTCATTTATTATATTGCTGTTAAATTCTCACTAAAAAAACCCCTACATACAGTCTCATGTACAGGTATGTAGATTTGTATGGCAAGAAAAAACCTACACTACTAAATGTGATTACAAAATGTATTAGATCTACATGATTCTAAAACAACAAATCAAAGAAAAGAACAGTTAAAGTTTCGTTTGTACAAAATTCTTTGGCCATGCATAATGAAGCATTTATGTTTGTATATATACATTAAAACTCATTTCATGTAGCAAATGTTTGGTCGTGGAATTCATGCAAATTGAACAGCAAATGACAGCCAAGGCTTAAATATGCTAAAATGACAAAGATACAATTGGACGGATAATTGAAACCTCCCAGCAACTCCAAGAACTCAAATGGAACTTTTTTTGAACAGCCACTGATAGGAAATACTTTATCTTTTTGTTTCTCGTCCAAAAAAAAGGGTTGACTGTACTCAATACAAAGCATAATGAATAAAAATAAATGTTTTTTACCCTTTTTAACCCAGCAGGAAATCTCTTAAATATATTTAAAATTTAATACTTTGTTCAAACTAATAACCCATCTAATGTTTCTCAGGGTTTCCTAAGGAGCCGTAAACCATACTTTTCTTTGCCTTTTGTAAGTTTATTGCTGATGGATATGCCTTGCAACCCTCGGCATATATTACAGTGCCTTCTCTTTAAATGCTGCTAGCCAAGGGCTTGAAAATAGCTCCAGCCAATAGCAGGGCATGTTACAATCTGACAGTATCACATAACAATGATTACAACTGGTTGCGAGCAGAGTGCAAGAAAAAAGCTCTTTCCCTGCCCGTAAAATAGTTGTATTTTAAAGAAGGGCTCTGGCAATGTCCATATGAGATTGATAATAATTAATTATACTAAATAATAAAAAACAAAAAATACCAAAATATCCCTCTGGCAAAGATCCCTCCAGCAGACGTGATGGATTTAAAAATGACAACTTCATTCACGCCTCTGACATTTTCTGTTATCATCTCAAGTCTTCAAAATGAACACGTCTTCTCGATGCATTACAGACGGCAGAAGGCAAAGATCTTTTTGAATCCAAATACAAAAAGTATATATGTACACTTTGTTAAGAAAAGAAAAAAAAAATATAAGAAATTCTACAATCATTTTCTACAATTGTATTAACAGAATACAAAGATTTTCTCTGAAGACTGAAAATCTATCAACTGATTGTTAAGCACACTCTTGCATGGAAGTAGTACCATAATTTCGTATGTACAAGTTGTTAATAAAAGGTTTTGTTAGTTATTACTTTTGTATAAAGTTTTCTTATAAAAAGTATTTATATAAACTCTTCAGCCTCACTTTGTCCCATTGCATAGTATTTTTGGTGCACCTTAAAACAGCACGATTACAAATGGACTTTAAAAAAAAGTGAAAAGAGGATCTATGAAGTAGCTGTTCATAAACAGGATTTAAAAACCCTCAGCACACTGTCAATATTCAAGTTTCATCTGGCAATTGGGAAGCACATGAAATATCCAGCATTCGGGCACCAGCACCTATTTATCTTGTTACATTTAAAATACTCCTCAGGTAACGTTTCATACCTTCTTGCTTTTGAGCCCATTTCCTTGTGCGGCAGTAAATCATTGGCAATACCGAAGGTCAGTGTGGTAGCTTTTTATTTATTCCCTTTCACCGCTACTTTGCTTGATAATTTAGACATCCATCTACATTGCCCCAAAAAACAAAAAATCACAGAAACACTTTCCATGTATCAAAGCAATTGATTTTAAAATGCCGGTAAGCGAATATTTCAGGCCGTCTTCAGAAGAATCCTGCAAGCAACACACACCTACAGAAATACTTGAATGCATAACTTTGCTCGGTGTAACAATTAAACCAAAGGTGCTTAAGTACTTCTTTCCAAATCAGCCTCTCATGTGAAAGACACAACTCATGATAGATCAATTAACATCTGACTTATTTAGAACTTGAGAGGGCAGGATATGGTACTAATGAATACGTCAATTATTAAATATTAAAATTGTATTCATCGCTACTAAGTAGCGTTTGCATTCATATAAAATTAAGTTAGTACATCTAGTTCATCAGTAGTGATTTGTTTTCGATAATATTCTGGAAACGGTTTCACCACAGTTTAGTTAAAAGTGAGGAAAACCAGAAAAACTTTTTAAAAAATTTTTTAGAAAAATGAAAAAGTGATTTTTTTTTGCATGCACATTTTCTTCATAAATATATGAGCTACTTTCTGAACACGTTTAAGTTGCTCATGTTTTATTTCCAAAATAATGCATGTAAGCTGTTGAAGGTTTCAAGAAATTCCCCAAATAAAACAACGTAATAGGATGAACCAATGACCTACATGTAAAGCATGTTTTATGGGCTGTTGACTGAAGTCGGATGGTGAATTCTTGATTAAATTCTAAAACCGATTTCTTTTTACAACTGGAAGCACATGAATGACACTGGACAAGGTGTCATCAACTGAAACACTGTCTTGCATAGGTCTGGTATCAAATTACGAGGTAAAATTGCCTCTCCGCAAAAAGCCAGTAACAATTGTTCAGCTCTGCTACAATTTGCAAACAACTCCCTGAGAGACTATAAAAGGCTGTACAAAAAATACACAATGAAATCGGTAGCGAAGTCAATCTGACGTCAGTTTCTGCCATCGCAAAGCTCCTTTTGTTACATTTCTTAAATCTCATGAGTAAAAGCTAAGTAAAGATGACTTTATTACCTTCAAGGCCTCGCCAGAAAAAAATTACGCATGATTTTTCTTCTTGACAATAGGCAAATGCTTGGTATGCTAACGCTGCCTTCATGTACAGCCTAAAACTATCGCTTGTGTAACCTACTGTATCCAGTGCTCCAGTCGACTGGTCTAGTCAATAATATGGTCCTTTCATCTAAAAATTCAATACCCAGACAGTTTGGGTTAATAGGGATCTATATTTGTGGGATTTCAAAGGACGACATTTTGATGAGAACAGAGAGTACATGCTCAGCATGTTACCAACCGGAGTGTTATGTAACATACACAGCTTATGACTGGTAGTTTGCGTGATATGCCTAAGCAGAGGGCATATGCTCTGCTGGATAGTCCATCTAACTGGGCTCAGATCACAGGCGAGGAGGACCTTGACCACTGGTCTTCGGCACTATCATTTGCCAATCGGCACTGGAGCAAAACTTGCTCATAAAGCATGACAGGACATCTGCAAAGAAACCTTTCTCCAGCTTGTACAGACAATTCACAAGTAGCACACTTTGACTCTGGATGAATACTGATGGGACAGGATGACCCGATGTCCCCGAAAGATCAGTCTCTGACCTCATCTTCTGAATACTGATGGGTCAGGATGACAGGATGTCCCTGAAAGATCAGTCTCTGACCGCATCTTCTGAGAGATGTATGCAGCACCAGGAAATAGCTCAGTTTTTAGCACGGCAATTTGGTGGAGCACCTACTGAGATCTAACCCCCAGTTTGGGTTGAAATCCGCTTTCAGTACCTTTTCCTTCCTGCATGATAAATGTCTTTGTATTCAACATAATTCCTTAAGAAACAAAGTATCCAAATGGAGGATGTTATTATGATAAATGTCTTTGTATTCAACATAATTCCTTAAGAAACAAAGTATCCAAATGGAGGATGTTATTAAACTGTCCAGTATTTCCAATTGTAATTCTCCAGAAGGGAAGCCCTTACAATAGCAACGAGGATTACTGTGGGTGGCTCTTTTTCCGATCCACTGTGTTTAGCTCTGTGCGAATACGTGGAGCAAGCAGACGGGGCCTAATTGTGGTAGTTAGTAATGCTGTGACGGTACTGTGCTGGCCTCTTTAGCTCATCATGTTCAGGAACCTGTTCTCTTCTGCTAGTGAGGTCAGCATGGAAGACATGTCGTTCACCACCATGTTGGAGACAGGGTTCACGTTGGGCACCATGGGGCTCTCGCAGCCCATGCCGTTCATCAGGTCGGTGGGGCTGACCAGGTTGGGGATCAGGGGCTGGACGTTGTCCAGGCCGTCGGCCGACAGTGCGGCCAGGCCGCTGGCCACGGGGTCGTCGCAGTCCATCTGAGGAATGCTGGGCTGGTCGTAGGGGTGGTCCACCGTGCTGCTAACCTGGTTGCAGCCCGGCGACATCTCCATGGATGTTGGCATTGAGTTTTGGTACGCGCGCTGCTGTTGCTGTTGTTGAAGCTGAATGTAGTGAGCTTCATTCAACTGCATTTGGTTAGGCTGGTACTGTTCGTTGACGTTCCCCAAGATCGAATGCATCATGTCGTTACTGTCCACATACCCGCCGGTCATCATTTTGGGCTCGGCGTATCCGTTGTTGTATCCCCGGTTCTGATTGGACGGTATCATCGGCTGGTACACTGCATTCTGCATGGACATCATGTCCCCAGTGGGGTCTTCATTAATCATGTCCATCGTTCCACTGTGCTGACCCATGGCGCTCTCCCGGGCCATGTCCTGCCACTGGTTACTGATCACTGGCGGCATCTCCATGGGCCGGGATCGCTGCTTCAAGCTGGACATATTTTGGGGTATGGGCAGCGGATTGTGGGGGTTGATGTTGGTCAGGCTGTTGTAGCGATGCAAAACGGGCTCTTGCTGTCTCTGGTGGACCGGATCGCTAGCCCTCCGGATCCCAACACCAGGGACCTCATGGGGGAGCGGTGTACGACTAGGGAAGCTGCCGTGCCGATTGCCGTTATACCCAGGCAGCGGGGAAGGAGCGAATTTGTCTTCGCCCCAAGAGTTCTGCTGTCCGGTCACCTGGTCGTACTTGGCCTGCAGCCGACGTTGTTCCTCAAGGGTTAACCCGGGGAGGCCCGTGGGGCCGTTCATGCCGCTCATGGCCCCGCTGGATCGGCGCGATGACCCTGGCGAGATTGGGTCGAAGTTGGAGCTGGTGGCGCCGAACCTGCTGGAGAACTGCGAGCTGGCGCCAGACGCCCGCCGCGAAGACAGGTAGGTGCTGGCCCCGCTGGAGCGCCGACTTGAGAATTGGCTGAGGGGGAACGGGGATGCCTCTGAAGACCGCCGGCTGCTGTAGTAGGAGCTGACGGTGCTGCCGTTGCTACCCCGTCGCGCGCCCAGGTTATCCAGGGAGCCAATAAATGACTGGCTACTGTCGCAACGTCCCATCTCCTCAGCCTGCAGCTTGATGATATTGCGGTCCTTGGGCTTGAACTCGCTGGAAGTGTTCACGATTGCTCCTCCTAGAGGAAGACATGGTGGACATCAATTAGGAACATAGTGCAACTACACAGATAATGTGTTTTTTCAGAGGCTGAAAATGTCATGAAGTCTCAACACACAAGTCAGTCAAACTGAACGGATGTAGGACCTGCTGCCAATCAAAAGAGAAAATAATCAGTAGTTGGTAATAAGCAATGAAAGCTTCTGCGCCTACACATGAACTGCAATGGCAGTCCCTGTGTACAGTTTCATTGACAAGAAAGTGTTCTTTTTCTCGATTTTAAATATGAATATTAAAATCAATTTCTCTCCAGGAGGGCATTTGTGAATATAGATTAGAGGTTTTGCATTGCTGCTATGTCAATGGTGTCTCAGTGGCTATTTCAAAGATGGATTTGTGCCGGGGAGATGTAAATTAATTTTGGAAATGTCAAAATGTGTTAAAATACACGTCGGGCAGGGCAAAACCCAAAATTAATTTAGTCTCAGTTTTTGTTAGTTTAGTTGAGCTGCAATGAACGCACAAAATGTTTCCTAGAGCTTGTCCTAGCGATGCAGAAACTCTTGCCCTCTGAGTATGTGTTAATGGATAACCTCTTTACACAGAATCCTAGTTTCTTCATGTGTTTGGCTGCTGACAAGGGAAGGGTTCTTTGGAATATTTAGCATTACTCACTCCTCGTATTGATTTGTGGTAGCTGCGGTAACCCTTGCGCCGTCTTGACCTTCTGAGCCAGTCGATTCACAGCAGGTGTGTTGACTTTCAATCTCTGCCGGGATGGCTTACAGACCAAAGGACTGATGGGCCGGACGGTCTGGGAGGACAGGGTGGTCAGGGCTGACCCCCTGGTGCGTCCACCTCCCCCGTTGCCCCGGCCCCCTTGGCTTGAGGGACCCATGTTGGAGCTGATGTGGTCGTCCTGGATCTTGTCATCTTCGATGGTGGTCAGGTCAGTCAGGCTGCCACCGGGGACTGTCATCTCGACGCCGCTGTCGTTGTGCGGCGAGCAACTGAACTCGTGCTGCAGCGTCAGGCACTCGGTGATGGGGCTGTCCTGTTTGTGGTGAGGGGGGGTGCATTAATTCAAGTCAAGACCACACAAATCTACTCCTGAAAACCTACCACATGGTCAAAATGTTCAATTTTAAGAAAATTACCCTTATATCTGTTTCATACTACAGCCGTAAGAATCTGACCTCAAACTTTGCAAAAATAAGCAATCTGGGTGGGGAATATGTCCACAAGCTTGCATTTTAGAGAAATTTGGGACAAACATTGGCCAAAACCCAGCTCCTCCTTTTGCGTTGAAGTGGAGGGATTGGATTTCAATTTTCGCTTGAGAACCACTGATTCATCAGCTCAAAACATTTCAGCTCAAACTCATCAAAGCAATCAAGAGAATACCTTGATATGAGAACAGGCATGTGAACGGGCATGAAGGAAAAAAACCTGAAAATAATTTGTGATGAAATTTATCACGGGGAAACTACTGCGAGCGCGAAGCCCTTATGGTGTGGGGTCCGAGGCCGGCTTAAGGACCCTTGAAAAATGTTGGATTGTAGATGCTCTGTGGTGCAATCTGAGGAAATTCATGGCCCCTTTGCCTCCAATTTATTGAATATTTGACAGTAAGGATGTTTCTCATTATCTTTTAAATTACTCTTAATTTTTTTTTATTAATTGGATTTCGTAAAACCTGAAATGGCCGTTTAAATATGAGGATGTTGATTTGACGTCATCTTCCTTCTTTTGCAAGGTGTAGTTTGTTCTCCTTTCACGGAAGTGTTTGCGGTGTTTACCGTACATAGCTGCATGCTGTATCAATGCTTTAGCTCTGGAAAGTAGGCCTACCGTACTTGATACAAATACAATACCACTCACACCATGCTTCTCTAGGATTGTAAAGCTTGTGAAAGCAATCACCCACCACGTGCTCATCTTCCGTTTTAGCCAGAAACAATTTGTCACACCATGACCAATTCCACTTGTGTTTTACTGATTTGTCAATCTCTTTCGGATCGGCAGCTCAGTGCTCAATGGACTTCTTTCCTTCCACCACGATTTCGATTTTTTCCCGACTGCATGTGAACGTGTATACATACACCCGTTCTTGTACCAATTTCCGTGAGCCAGTTCAGACATGGCCATGCAGCAGCGCTGCCATGAATTTACGTCTAAGAAACAAGGACCCATTGGGAGTAATGTGCATGCGTACGTATAATAATTAGGAGAATGACCGGTCATGTCAGAGGAATTAACCAATAACAGGTAAGAGACTGATTTTTACGAGAGTCGGATTTTCATGTGACACCGGGCATTCACGCAATCACGAAGTGGCTTTATGAGGAAGCGCGAGCAACTGCACTTGTCACCGGTTCCCTCCTTTGGCTACGTAAAGAGAATTTAGGTTTGTGGGAATCCGCGAAATTCGTTCCTTATTTCCTACATACATTGTACATTTCTAAGGGTATTGCTTATACTGTTATTAGGGAAATTTTGAGTAGTCAACCAACATTTACCCCCCTTGCAACTTACCCCCCTAAATTTTATTTCATTTTAAAACTGAACTCAAGACCACAAAAAACAGAATTCCTATTAAACCGGAAAGATTTCCATGCCTATAAGAATGAGCCTTTGGACAGCTATCGACGGTTTGGAGAATCAAGTCATAGCTTGGGTATAACTGAAGGGTACTCACGTGCACCACATCAATGTGCAAGTCAGATGGAGGTACGCTGGGCGGCCGGTCGCTGCGCCGGCCTACACTGACCACGCTCCCGTCCACACTCTCGGCACTCTCCGACTTGACCGAGCCTGGCTGCTGGTCCCTGGTCTGCCCCTCCCCGGCCCCACCCGGAGTGCGGTCATGCCTGTCCCCACCACGCTGCTTCTTGGTAACGTGGGCGTCAGGGCCGTGCACCGTCTTGACGTGCTTGCGCAGCGAGCTGGGATCCGTGTAGCGCTTGGTGCAACCTGGGATCTTACAGACGTATGGTTTCTGCAAACGGAGTCGGACATAAAAAGAGAAAGAGGGTATGAGCTTCAATTTGGACCAAGAGAGGGCGCAATTTTCTTGGCAGCAGAGGCTCCTCGGTTGGAACTGAACTTTGCTGGTTTACAAGCAACTACGAAATGCACCTGTTTCGGTTATATCGTTACCAACAAAATAAACATTCCTGACCAATATGGCTCTTTCAACTAATGAGGGGTGCTTCTGCTCAAGGCGGATTGAATCAGTTGTTTCCGAAGACTCTCCCTGAAATGGAATACGCTCTTTCATATAAAACGTTTGAAACATGCGGCAATGTGGAAGAAGCTCTAAATGAGCTGATCAGTGTTTTCAATCATTTCTCCTCCACCAAAACTAACTGTGACTGATACACCGACTATCATAACCAAACAATCTTTCAACAGTCAGAAATCTGAACGTAATCCTTCCAATGTCACTACATCTTGTTCTGTACTGAATTCCACACTGATCTTGGTGAGGTAAAGACAACCACGGCCCGGGCAAATACTTACAGCATTGGAATGTGTTCGGTTTTGGTGCTTAGCTCTGTCCGAAGCGTTGGAGAAGGCCTTGGTGCATCCTTGGAACTCACAGACGTAGGGCCTCTCTCCGGTGTGGGAGCGCAAGTGAGTCTTGAGGTTCTCCAGCCGAGAGTAGGCCTTCTTGCAACCCTCAAACTATCAGGAAACAGAACTCTTAAAGACTCATTCATTGCTCGATGAATCACAGAAGACGAATCTCAGAAGCTTCGCCCATAGCAGCAAGCAGCATTTGCTCTCTGACTGTACTAACATGCCAACATTTTTTGGAGGATGCAGGCTTACTGTTCAAAGTTTTTCCACTAAACCGCGATCATAAATTTAATTTTCTAATAAAAGCAAAAATCTGTTTTAAAAAGCTTTTGTGCTGGCAGGTATCACAAGGGTGCTCAGAGTAGCTCTGTGGGATGAAGGTATCTTCAGAATCAAGTGTGTTTGTCGATACAGCTTCTGCACTTGAGTTTTTGTGCCGGCACATGTGACAGACAGAAGCAGATTACTGAGAAACTGTCTAGCATTTGACAGGAACCTGATCTACCAAGGTGTGAGCTCACCGTGCACTGATGTGGCTTCTCGCCGGTGTGTCGTCTCATGTGCACCACCAGCATGTACTGGGCCTTGAAGGGCTTCTCCTCCCGGATGCAACCCCGCCACCGGCAGACAAACTCCTTCCTCTCGTTGTGGATGTGGTCGTTCAGGATGTGCTGTGGACAGAAGAGAAAATGAGAACAGCCCCATCAGTCAAAATCTGCGAGAGTTGCGTCTTGTCAAAGTAACCAGGACAAAACTGATCAACAGGTCCAGCAGAAACTTGACAGACTTATCAAATAATTTCAAGGATGCAAGAGTGACGTAAGCAGTACAGGATTACAATTTTGAAAATTTCTTTAAGAATAAGCAGAAATACTGGCATTAGGGCAAAACTGTGAAGAACTGAACTGCAAGTAAAAACTTGAAGCAGCAGACAGTATTTCTGGAAATTCGTTATTTTGGTTTTCAAAACAATGGTTACATCTCGCTTTGCTACTTTCTCAGGCCCGTCTCAGGTGGGGGGAGGGGCACGGTTGCCCCCCCCCCACATCAAAATTATCACCCCTAGTGCCCAGAGCAAGTGACGGGGCTGTACTTTCTTCGATCTCCGACTTCAAATCTTATTTTATTGAAGCAATTCCAAATCTTGATACATGCGATTAAAGGAACCTTACAGTGCCGTCAACCCACACATACCTGCACCAGTTGATCCAATGTATCGTATCTCGCTTGACAGTCGTTCCACTCACAGTCCGTCACCACGGGCACATCCTCTTCAATCAGCCCCTTGGTTCCGTCCTCACTGCCAATCCCCACCCCCTTACCATGCCTCTCCGCCCCTACCCGGTGCCCATCAGGCGACATCTTCTTGGCGTCCACATGACAGGTGGACGAGACCACATTCGGGGAGGCGTCCTGTCTCCGGTTTCGGTCGGCAGGGTCCAGGCTGCTGGTTACTAGGTCATTGTTGTTGGGCTCCAGGAACTTCTGGGGACTATGCCCCTCCTGAAAGAGGAGAAGAAAATCCACTTGCTTCCTCAGAACATCGGATACTATGAAACTAGACGACTAAATCAACTAAAAATTTGGTCTTCACTTTCTCTGATGTTGTAATAACAATCCCTATACTGATGTTTAATTTTTTTTTTCTTGTGCTCGACCCAAACACTCGTAACTGTGCTTTGAGTAACAATTTCCAAACTCACACTCGTGACTACCTGATTATACAACACTCACGTGAGTTGCATCTGTGTTATTCTCAACTGCAGGCCTGCTGCTGTGCTTGGCTAGGATGTCGGTAGTCATTGGAGGCACCATGGTCTCCTCATTGGTGTTACTGGAAGGGTGAGCCCGGGCCAGCAGCGTTGCCATTGCTGGGTGATGCTGGACTGCCCCTGATGGGGGCGGGATGGCTGATGGCATGAACGGGTTCCCGAGCCCGGTCCTGTAGGGTGGGAGATGGAAACTTTGGTCAGCGATGCAACTCCTGTAAATGATGCAAAAAGTTATTAAACTATTCTGTTCCGTGACAATTCATAATTCAAACAATCCTGTTCAGTGATAACTGAAATTTAGGAACTTTAAGAGGTAAAACAGTTAACTGTAATGCCAAATCTGAGCTGATTCAGTGCCAGTTTTGTCAAAGGGACTATCATTTTTCACTCCAGGCCCAGTGAATGTTAAAGACCCAAAAGACTGGTCTCCGCCCAGAGAAATAAGACATGCAGAACATTGGCTGACTTGAGGACACTGTCTTGGATTCTTTGTACCTGCTATCAAAGTTCCACATTCTTGGTACAATAAGGTTAGCACCTCTCAAACTTTGAAACCTCACATGGTAAAATGAGGGCTCATTAATGGCGAACACTGCAACAAATTTGCTTTTGAAAGAGTTATTTCAAAGAGGTTCAAGTAGGATAATTCTCCTGATGTAAAGGTACACTAGTTAGACATTATGGCTATTGGTCGGATGTGAGGGAGCTCTTTTATCAATTGATTGATTAATTTAAACACCACAAGAAACAGATGATCCAGCAGTCTTCAATTTTTTATCAGTCGTCTGAGAGGCCTTGCCTTTGTCTCATCAGCTGTTGCTGGAGTTGTTGCAGGTGGGCTATTGGCGTGGCAGAGGGGTGCCAGCTCAGTGGACTCACAGCCCCCGCAGACAGATGGCCGTAGGACCCACTGGCACTGGAAGAGCTGCGCGAACTGTTGATGTAGGCCACCAGGGAGTTGGGGGAGGTGCGGATCATGGCGTTGATGTCCAGGCACTCACCAGAGAGAGGTGAGATGGAGAGCGCTCTCTTGCGGCTGCGGCGGTCGGTGGGCCGCGGGGTGGAAAATCGGGAGCCTGGGGGGGGGGAGGGGGAATGCAAAGTAAATTTGATGAACTGAATTTCATGCATGCTGGCTTGCATGCAATGAGCACACAAACAAAAAGTATACAGCGTTGGCTGATCTGTCTTGGAAAAACAGGCATTTTGCAAAAATGATATATTTTCACAAATATGGTGTCAGAATGACCGCAAGATATGACTGAAAAAAAACTGAAGACCAGGTGCAGGAAAGAAATGCCATGAGATAACACTGGAGAAAAGCCTGGTGGGAGGGGGGTTCTTTTCTTACGAGAAAGCACTTTACCTTCAATGGATCCCACATCCAGTGCTGGGTGCTCGATGCTCCCCGCTGTACTGGGTGGAGCACTGAGGAACTCCGGGGCGATGAGACTGTGCTGGCTGAGATGGGTGTGGTAGGGCATAGCGGTGGGATGGCTGGGAGGTATGGCACCCTCACCTGAACAATAGGCAAAACCAAATCAACGGGGAAAAAAAGAACACAGCAAAGACGGCAAAGTTACAGATGCTAGCATGAACTTTATCAAGGGTCTGGAACAGTACAGAGCAGAAAACTGCTGTGGGGGTGGTTTTTTTTAAAGAAAACTGTGCCTTTTTTTTTAATTGAAGTCGAGATGAAAGAAGCAAGATTCAAGCCTGCGTGCTCCACAATACCATGGATGGGGTGGGTGGGAGAGCCAGGTGTTTAGGACAGGTTGGGCTTGGAAAACCTAAGAGAACAAACTCGTGTCGTCTCCTCGCTTATTTCTTGGATGCCTTTGGAATGTAAATTAAGTTATCAGCTTAGCTTGAGTAATAAGTAAACTGTGAAATGTTGTTACGGGATTACCAAAGTAGGGACTTGATTTTGAAGTAGCAAAAATGGAAATATTTTCTGTTCAGTTTAAAAAACCAATGAGGCAAACGGGTAAGCTGATCTGCCAAGCCCATGTCCATGCTCAACTCAGACATTCACAGATGTTCTCAACATCATGCAGCATGCTCCCTCACAAAAAAATCTATTCAGCATACAGGGGTCACCTCTGCAATAACCTCCGACCTCTGGTTTCACCCGGGACAAGAATTCAACTTGGCCCAAGGGGGCCTTGTCGTCTACTCTTAGCTGTTCCCGCTATCAGCTTTACAACAACACCAAAAAAACACACACCAAATGTCAGATGTTATCGGGCGAGCATCGTAAGTTTCCAATATGTCTGGAAGCCAAGATCCTGACACAGGGAAAATATGCCATCAATGCAGATGGTCGTTGGCTACTGTGTCTTCTGATCAAACGTTCATTGTAATATAATGTTGACTAGCTTCTGTGTCTTTCTTCATAGGTTTCCTCTAACGAAGCACATGCAAAGCAATAATCATCAAGTTACTCCAGAATTATGCTGCATTCAGAAATTAACTACTGCAATGAATGTAACTGGCGATAATGCAACCTCGGCTGACACCCAAAACCCAAACCGGGTGTCTCCCGATGCAGAGACAGATATATGCCGGCCGAAATTTTCAGCTCTAAGTAAACCTCCTCGCTGTATCACGGTCCGGTAATCTTAACTTTCCGAGCATTCTGTGGCAAACAAGCCTATTAATTCCTCCAAACTACACCAATCTGTCCGACACCACTGGCACATTCTCCTTAGTAATGGAACATCTCAGCAATCAAATCTCTTGTAACGTGATGGTTGGCCTATGTACCATCGTCATCCTATACCCCGTGCAATCGCAACAAACAGCTCATGACTGTAGATATCTGAAGAGGGGAAAGTCACAACATTTCGAAAGGCGATCTGGACAAACAGCCTTGAATATTGAGAACAGTTCAGTCCATAAAAGACTGAAGTTGAAGTTGCCAAAATTACTTATTGTTTCCCGTGCATTATTTTCACACGATAAAAAGGTAGTAAACCGAGTACTGTAGGTGCACAGCTGTGTTGGGAAAATTTAAATAGAACCAATATCATGACTGAAAAAAATAATTGGACAGAAAAGCTAATAAATACCCGTTCAACACATCAAAGAAGAGATTCATAGCGAAAGGTCTGTTTCCAGTCTGACTGAAGTCTTAAACAAAGTGAGGATGAGCACAGGCTTCGTCTCAGTGTGACGTTTTTGACTTTGACTCACCATAGGAGCCGCTGGGGCTGATTCCCCGGGCATGGGACAGGGCTGACATGGCCGGACTCCCCCTAAACTGGTCCACATAGTGCTGCATGTACAGCGGGTAGCTAGCCGAGTCAGCTGATGATCCCCGCTGGGGGGTGAGACGTATCAACGAGACATCGGACAGAGAGGGACTGCCTCCGGAAGTATGCCTGAGAAGCGGGGAGAGATGATGGATCATAACCAATAGTGTGGCTTGGCAAACTTTCAAGTACTTCTTACAAACACATATTCTGACCTAACCTGGGCAGTTAGCACAGCGCATGATACACACCACGAAGGCTAAGATCATCGGGTGTAAATTTAATCAATGAAGGTCTGAAGTTTGCTTTTGGCCAAGAGTCATATGAAATGTCTGATGTCACTTCAAGCAAAAAAAATTTGTGGGTTCAAATGCTGCACGAGCAAGCCTGTAGAAATTTTCTGGCAGTATACACTGGACTCAGAAAAATCAAATCAAAAGCATTTTTTCTACTGATGGGAAAATGACCTTCGCCCAAACGCCATGAATATTCATCAGATACATGTACGACTCCTAAAGACAGCATTATGCAAATACAGCTATAAATCGTGGATTATTAGGATGCAAGTTGCTTTAGGAGTTGTACTGAGTGAACTAACCCATGTAAGGGGTGGTGAATAGGACTGTCAAAGTGATATCGTCCTTCGTGGGTTCTCGAATCCACAGGGATGGGAGGGTGGAAACCTAGACGCCCATCCATGGCATGCACTGGGAAGGAACAGATGGAAAAATTAATCAGGATTAACACTTAAGTCTCCATGATGACGTTCGTAAAAACAAAACATTGAAAACTACTGGCCTACCATGAAAAATATTAACCGCTTTATGCCGGAAATGTTGGCACAATTCTGACAAATATTTTGGCTTACTGATGAACGTTTCAAGGACCAAGAACACTTTTTTCAATTTTCAAATTCCTCCAAATAAACTGCATTAATTTTAAAGAGTGCATTAGTTTTTTTTTTGAACTGCAGAATATTTACATAGGGAGATTTAAAATTTTAAATATGCAAGTCAACATTATATGGCTTCCACCAAAAGACCTTTTTAAAAAAAATAATCACCCTGACTGGCATGGATTTTCTGGCATTATCTGTTTATAAAACAATATCGAAGATCTCAGAAGTATATGTCCACAAGCTTGCCTTTGTGCGAACCATAGTATTAGTCATAGCAGTCTTTGATGAGATTTGAGAATCGGTGCCATTTGGAAGATGTCCTTCGTCACTTGCCCATTTTGGCAGTTGGATGGTTAAGGTCACAAGCCCACAACCTTAAACTTAGGAATACTTCCTGGAATGTGGTCTTTGTTTTTCAATGGGATCAGCTACGGTGATTTATAGCTAGAATTTTATGGTTTTGTTAGAGCTGCTTGCCCGGCTCTTCATTTTTGTAAGAAGAAAAATTATTGAAAACAATCATTTAAAATACTTTGCTGAAATCAGTAAGCAATGCAAACACAACTTCTAAGTTGAAGTTTTTCACAGTTGGGTAAGATCAAATCTATGATTATCAGAGATACTGAGAGTCTGTCAATGACAGCTCTCTGGTTGGCTTATTGATCACCTGATAAATAACTGATTCCAAAGTCCTAGTAAATGAATATGCTTGATTGTTGGTTGTTCAAGCAGTGAAGTGGTTAAGTACACCACTTTTGGCACACACGATTCTCCAGCCCTGCAAAAATCAATACACGTACACCTGTATGAGCTTCTACTTCAAGCCAACATTCTTTAATACACCTGTCGATTGTCATCCCCGCCCCAGGGGACCCGGGACTTTCGAAAATGTAGCGGGGACGTACCCCGGGATGCCCCCAAAAAAGGTGCCCCACTGGCCGGGACGATAGCAGGGACTTGGCCGGGGTTGTACAATTGCTGCCCCGCTGGGCCGGAACGATAGCGGGGCTTGGCCTGGGTTGCACAATGGCTGGCTTCGGGATGATAGCAGGGACTTGGCCAGGGTTGTACAATTGCTGCCCCGCTGGCCCGGGACGATACCGGGGCTTGGCCCGGGTTGCACAATGGCTGGCTTCGGGATGATAGCAGGGACTTGGCCGGGGTTGTACAATTTGTTACACCGTCTATCGGTAAAATTTTATAGCACTGAGCTTTGATATAAAATACAAAGTGTTTCCCCTACCTTGACAGAGGAAAACCAGACAAAGATGATGTCTTATTTTGGGATCAGAGCCCGCAAAATATAGACCTTTCTTTTTTTACAAACACTGCCGCTACTTTCTTTGGACTGCCAAATGATTAAAACATGGCGTAAACAATTGTGGTAATTTATCCTTCAACCAAGTAGCTCTGGTCACGTGTATTTTGGCGATATATTTCAAATCATTGGTTATCTTGATCAATCTTCAATAAACGAATGAAGTGTTGAGGACTGAGGAAGAATACGCTAAAATATATCTCACTGATAACTGTCCCTACTTTTATTGGGCTGGCACGGGTGATGGCCTCATGTACATAAACGACCATTTCAACTGGTCAATTAGTCTCCACACCGCATGTAACAAATTTTGCTACTGGATGAATTTCCATAATTATTTCTGAGACCTCCGCAAGGGAAGAGTACCCAGTATAGCGATTATGGTTGTCGGCCCCCCTGATTCCGGTGCTTCAGATATGCGGACGAATGTTTCGCCAAAGTTTGGTAAAATTAAAGCAGCTGCCCCTTGCTTTGCTTTATTTCGGAGATATTTTACCAGTACCTGTAGTTACGGCAGGCCAAGTCGATTGTTGTCTTAGTAGTGACCCAGAAGAGTAGGGGACTATTATTTATTTTCAGTCATGCGGTTGTTGCGTCACAAGCCCTGCATGCTAGGGACGGTGCGGGGATTGGTCACAACGCTCCGCACGCCGGACCCAGGATTGCGCGGGGGTTACCACAATGGTGCCCGGCATGCTGGGGCCGGGGAATGCAAAAAAAGGCGCCCTGCCCTGGTCGGGCAAATGACGGGGACTATCATGCTGGCCCTGTTTTATCTTCCCTGCTAAGCCCCCCCCCCACGTCCCGGTTCACCTGGGGCCGGGATTACAATTGACAGGTGCTTAAGTCCCACAAGATGTGTCATTTTGACTCCATCTTCTACTAGTTACAAGTAACAGTACATACCTTGCATGCAGGCTCCATACAGTTCCATGGTCATGTTAACAGTTCACAAAAAGTTAGTTTGACAATTGCGTCCTCGTGAACCGACAGTGGTATTCAGTATAAGTACACTCAGTGAGAGATGATGATCACCACATTGGATGGCCAAGATATGTCAGGGTCAAACTTTGAGAATCAAAGTACAAAATCTGTACTAATTCCTATCCAGTCCTTTGACTTATTGGAATTGTTAAAAAAAGGAGAGCTCAAAGTCTACCTGAAGTACAATGTTTGAAGGGCTGTGGGTGGAATAAACTGGTACGATACCCGTACGACAAAGAAAAAAAATGTGAAACTGGACTTTAAAATTAGAGTATGAACCTGCAATTTTCCTAAGAGCTTTATTTATAGTTTGGGGAGGCAGGTACTGGGTTGGCGGTGTGATGTCAGATCTGAATTATTTTCATTCATCAGCTGTCTGACTTGCAGAGTTTGCCATGGCGTTCAGATTGAAAAAAAAAAAACTTTCTTGGTGCCAAAAAGTAAAAGAGCAATTCAAGGGTGGCATCTGTCTTTGTGGTTCTTGGTTTCCGTAGCATCGTATAAATGGTACAAGAGCTGCACAAGCGCAAGTCTAGGACCAGTCTGCATGTGGCTCCAAATCAAACTACTTTTCATCAACTCTGCTTTATATTAATCATTAACGGACAACTCAACCAAAACTGCAACAAGGCAACTGCAAACATAGTTAAAAAACATTCACTGACATTGTTTATAGCCTTACCATAACGGGGGTCCAAGGCTGCCCATCCATTGGTGGGGTCAATGAGGTAGGGTGGTGAGTGGTGGTGGTGGTGATGGTGGTGCAAGGCCTGGTGGTGATAGTGGTGGGGATGGACTGAGGGGGCCAGGGGAAAAGGGCGCAGGCTGGCCAGGTATTTGGCTCGCTGGCTGTCCCGCTGGTGGTGGTCCTCATCGGTACTGGAGGCAGGCTCCTCGCAGACCGTGCTCAGAGTGCCGCGGCCGGGGGTATCGCTGCTGCCTTGCTGGCTGTCCTGCTTCACTTGATCTTTGTCTGAAAATGCGAAAGTTTACAACATGGGGCTGGAATGACATTGACGTTTTCTTGGAAGTCATAACTCAGGGTGTCTGTTCTCAACAAATGACATCACTGCCCTGCAACATGCAAGTTTACAGTCGATAACTAGAGCTAGTGTGCTTCAGGAAGGAAGGATATATCAGTCGTGAACAGCTTTTGGAAATTTTGAAGGTGCAGATCAGATTCAATTTTTCTGTCGCTGTACATGTGAGTGGTGGGGACACTGCAGTAAAAGTGTCAGCGAATCGGTCTATCAATAGTACATATACCATACTCGTACTGACCACCAGGTGACCAATGGCCAAATTCTACAAAGACATTTTATGACATTAGGTCCAGAGATATCATCGACCAAGTTTGACAATTAATGGGCCAAGCTTGTGGAAGAAGAAGGAATTTGTAATGTTGAATAAAATGACCACTAGTGACCACTGGCCAAATTCTGTGAACATCTTTTACGAGGTTTTGCCAGACATACCACTGACCAAGTTTGACAATAACTGGACTGAGGTTGTGGAAGAAGCAGCGTTTTGTCATTTTGAAGAAAATGACTACAAGTGACCACTGGCCAAACATGCTAGTCACTACACATGAGACTCTGGCCAAGTTAGATTCTGTCCAAATTTGGCTGCAACCATTGAAATAATGCCGAAGATACTGGAGAAAGAAAAAAGTCAACGATTATAGTTTATCTGTGTGCTTTGCACAGCTGATATTACAATCCCAGGATGTGAACCATATATCATTCTTGAACAATACCGAATAACAGTTTTGTTAACTGCTGTTATGATTTTATCACAAGACACAGGCCCCAACCATGAATTTTTTTCCTGAAAAACACCGTTTTTTGTAAAGAAAAGACGAATCGGCCACAAATTAAGCATTCTCTGTTAAGTACAACTAAGGTACATGTACCTCTCACTTTGAGTTCATCTTTCGTCTACACTAGATTTCATTTACACATTTCATCAAGACTAAGGGATCTACATGTACAAGTTTGGAAGTTAACATAAAAAAATCAACTGAATCTGGTACGCTTGTAATGGGCTTAGTTTGTGTACCCAGCCACATGCTTGTGGCGTGTAACAAAGTCACTTGCAGTGCCTTTCTGAGGAGGGCGTAAAAAAAAATTTAAAACAATCAATCTGGAATCAAAGTTCAACTTGACTCCGGCTTCTGAACCTGAATGATACAAAACCAAATCTCACAACCAGGACGCAGTCGGCACACTTATCACTCAACCAGCGGAAGGTTATCAGCGTAAGGCAACTGTATTGCTGGAATCATATCTTATTTTGGAAACTTGTCAAACGGAAGGACAGAGGTGGATTAAAGGTCTAGCACTATGGACTTAAATTTTATTTTTAATATTTTTTAATCCATTAATGACACTTGTACACATATTTACTATGATGTCTGTGTTTCATTATTCACACATCAAACTTTTATCATCTAGGCCTACATTTGTAATTTATTCAAAGATTTTGTGAGTCAATGTCAAATTTCTATCAAAAAATCTACAAAAAGCTGTTTTTAATTCATTATTTTCCTCTCTTAGAAGATCATGTACATGTACAAACATACAATGTGAGATACATAAAACCCTTTTTCAAACCTAAGAAGAACTGGTATTGGGACTATAGTCCGAATTTCTGAATAATTCCCCCCCCCCAAAAAAAATCCATTCTCCTTATTCAAATTTCAAACCTGAGAGTCTGAAAATAAATGGAAATAATCCACTCCAGACAAGCCTTTTCTCAAGCAAAAGAATTTTTAAGTTTGTTAAAATTCTGAGAAATAATTTCATGTAGACACCTGACATTTTTCGCCACTCTTTCACCACCCAAAAGTGGACCCGTTTTGACCACGATGAACACAATGATATAAAGGATCAGGCATGCAACTCTTTCATCTGCAAACATGAGGAAAATTTGGCAACCAGACTGCAAGCGCGGAGTGCGAAGTACAGACGCCAAAATTTGAAATTCAAAGGAGGCTTTTTAATGAAAACGCCCATGCACACTGTGCCACATCACGCGCACAGCACTATGTGATGCAGGATTTTTTCACAGTGGTGAGTGGCTTCACTGGAACTTAGAAACAAGATTACTAAATTCAAATCTAAAGCAGCTTTGTTAACGTTCAACTACATGTAAACTACGTGTACTCGCACTTTAAAATGTTCAGTTTTTCTTAACACTATGGAGAACATTACTTAAGTTATGACTATAATTTGGCTTTCTTCGACTTAAATGTCCAGACAGAGGCTAGAGTCCAAACATGAGAGAACTTGAAGTGGTTCTTCAAGTTGCAATAAAAACCTCTACAGAACTGGAAGTCCAGCACAGCCCTATAGACATTTCTTTGTCTGTTTTCAATGAGCAGACCACAAGGAATCAGTGGCCCCGTAAGTGACCGCAACCACAACATATTCCAAGAAAGTTCCTGTGAAAAGATCAGCAGAAAAGAGTCTTCAGGGAGGGGGGTGGAACTCATGGTACCCAAAGTTAATCATTAATCATGCCCAGAACCAGACTGGACTACCCTTATTATAATTTCCCACTAGTCAGGCTCCTCCTCTGATTTGTTGGGAAGATGAAAGTCATCAGCGATATATGAAAGTCAACAACCTCATTATTTACATGTAGTATGGTTCTGTGAGAGTACAGGGAGCATTTCCATTCAATTGTTCATAAGTAAACTGTGCAGAGATAAGACAATGTAAGATGGAGCTTATTTGCTTTGTGGTGTGAGCTGTCATTAAGCTGCCATGTGACTAACTCATGACCGACGACAAGTTGTGGTACTTCACGTGGCATAAGGCATGCACAGTGTCTTTTCGCATCGACCGAGGTCAACCTCAGAGTGTGCAATGTTCACTGATATTACCCACATGACAAGGCTAGCTCATTTGCTAGACAAATGGCACACACTAAACAGTGAAAAAATGCAACCTAGAAAAGGGATTATCCCAATCATGTACCAGTTTGACACATTGGCTCCAACATTTGGGGAGGTATTTCTAATTTAGGGTTCTGTCCTAGAATTCTAAAACAGCAGAAACTCCTTCAATCTTCATCAATGCTATTGCCAAGCAATCCTGATCTTTAATTCAAATCTAACCCTCAACAAATCACACAAGTGGGCATCATGCATCATGTGCGCCTGGTCTCTAAGGCATTGTCTCCATCCATTCACTTCCAATCATCCTTTACACCTCTAACATAGGGCAGCTATCTTGCTATGTTACCATCTGAAGCTATGTAACCAAACCAAACTGAGGCTGGAAGGAAAAAAAGGCTGTTCCCTTTTATCAAATGTGAAGTTGTATTACTTTTGACAGTGGGTCAACAGGGAACAAGACAAACATGGAAGCATCATGAAGAAGGTCTAAAGCCGTGTTTGCACTGGATCATTTTTTTCAAACTTACCAAGATGACGGTTACTTTTCCCATTTTACGTCCAGTGTGGACACCCCAGGAATTTTTCATCTTGGTTAATTTTACTGAGCGGCGTGGTAATGTTTACCAGCCAACTTCTGCCCAGGAAGAATTTAACCAGACACTTTTCCCGTGATGGAAAGTCCAGTGGGGTCAGCCCGAGTCGCTAAAAGCAAAGTGGCCAGTAGAG